TAAGCAACGCCCCACCCCACCCCCCACATCTTGCTCACAGGTAATGTCTGAACACCCTGGCCTGTGCTCAGCTAGGCCAGTGAAGACAGAAGCCCTCTTTCCCCTGACAGGACCTCAACGTAATTTTCCATCTTGCTCTTGGCTGTCAATTCCTACTTGCTCATGCTGTATTTGGAATTGACCCCCCACTGCTAGGCCCCTTTATGGTGGTCCCTATGCTTGTCATGATGGTCCTGAATAACATCTGCCTTACCGTCTTCAAGAAGTATCACTGGATGATTTTTTTTTCTGTAACAGCTTCACCACCTCCACCCTGAAATATTCTCCTTTTAAGTGGACATTCAGCAACTCAGGGTGATTTAGCTGTTCTACACGACCCAGCGGGATGTCTCTGAAAAGCTACACACCAGATTTCCTCACAGATCACAGTGGAGACGATGTCCTCAACTGAGCCCGCACAGAGGCTGCTTGAAAAGAGTGGATGGGGGCGCTGAAGAGGGAATGGGGTCTATTCTCTCTTACATAAGTGTCATTTTCAGTCTGTTCTGATGAAGACAAGTGACAAGAGCTAATTCCTCATGAACTGTTTTGATCCCCTTCTCTCCCAGCACACACACAGACACACACACCACTCCGAGTCACTGCAGCCCCCTCCTGGGAATTCAGTTGCACAGATGCGGCCCCACCCACCCAGGAAAACTACAAGTTTGAGCAGCTCCAGCTCCCGAATGAAAGGACTTTGTCTCTGAGGCATGGCAAGCTGCTAAGCAGAGGCAGTTTGAAACCGGTCTCACCAGTGTGGCAAGGAGACTGATTCAGACTCCTTGTGGGTTTCTCCAACTGTGACAGACACAAACAGCCCAGTTTCCTTTAAGGAGTCACAGGAAAGGTCAACCTAGTCAAGCGGCAGGGAAAGGACACCACTAGAAACCATTAGTCACGGGACACGGAAGCACAATGAATTGGGGAACAGCCATAACTGAGGTATGAAAAATTGCTGGGCATGAAAGATAAGCAGAGAAGGCTTCCCAGGGGAGAGGCCATTTAAATGGGGTGAGAAGGAGAATTTTCCAGAGGGATGATTTAAGAGCTGAACCTTTGAAAAAATTAGTCTTAAATATCATAAAATTCCATGTAAGTAATCATCTTAAAACTTAACAATAGAGAATATTTATTAGAACAGAAAACTCACATTTTAAAATATATCTTATAGAAATTAGAAAAAAACTTTAAGAGAAAATTGTGATAATGTATTTCCTCCCACCCATATTGCAATACCCTATTTATAAACTTTAACTCCCTAAATCAAAACAAAATTATCAGCCTTCCAAGTAGTTGAAACTTCAGGCATACACCACCAAAAATAAAACCCCAAAAACAAAAACAAAATTATTTGAAAATCACAAAACATCTAAAAGAATGGCCTTTCTACCTTAAAAAAAGGTATTACAAATGTAAGCTTAGCTTACATATAAAGATTTCAAATATTCAAATAATGCTAAGTTATCTCTCAGTTGACGAGTTTATTCACAGTTATGAGGGGAAAGAAACTACAGGACTACATATGATTCAAAAGAAATATTTAATAATTAAAAGTTGATTTACTGTTACCATTGGGTCTAGCAAGTCTACTCCTAGATGTATGCCTAAGAGAAATTTAAAAATCCATATATAAAAACTCGGATGCAGATGTTCATGCCAGCATTATTTACAATAGCCAAAATGGCGAAATAGCCTGAATGCTCATCAGCTAATGAATGAATCAATAAAATATTATAACACATCCATACAAATGAAATATTATTTGTCAATAAAAAGGAAAGAAGTATTAATGCATGCTACAAAACGGGCAAATCTTGACAACATTATGATATGTGAAAGAAGCCAGTTACAAAAGACCACATGCTGTTTGATTTCATTTGTGTGAAAAGTCTAGAAAAGGCAAATCTAAATAGACAGAAAGTAGATTAGCGTTCACCCAGATCTGGGGGGATGGAGATGGGAATTTAATGGGTAGGGAGATTCTTTCTGGGATGATGAAAATGTTCTAAACTTAGATTGTGGTGACGGTTACATAACTCTATGATAGTACTAAAACCATGAAATTGTATCCCTAAATGATTGATTTCTATTGTATATGAATTGCATCTTCATAAAAATGTTTAACGGAAAGTCGATTGTATTGATTTTCATGGAATCATGAAATACAAACTGCTTTAGGTGGAAATACACCTGCTGTCAGACAAGGCAGAGTAATTTCACAGAACCAGTTAGTTCTATATTTTTGTCCCACAGAAAGAAGAATTTAGGTACCAGACAAAAATGCAATTTCTCGTGACAAAATGTCAGGCCTTATGTTAAACTGTTTCAAAATATACCACAAGCTCTCTAATGACCTCCAGTGGTCACAACTAAAATTGCCTGGTTTATGGTAACATGAGCCTAGACCACCGTGCAATAAGCCGGTCTAAATGTGGGATTTGATATATTATTTTCTCATTTAGAAAGCTGCAAATTTGGAGTAATAGGAAGCATAGCCTACGACTACCACAAAATGCCCCTTCCCCAGATCTTTAAACATTGGCTGTTTTTCTGTGTCCTATCTTTGCAGTCTCTTTCAACAGAGCCAGGAAGATGCCTGTCTCCTTCTGTGATTCCATCAGGGAGTCAGTTAATAATCAGTGTCTGTGCCCACAGATGCAGGATAGCTGCCAAGGAGGAAGAAGAAGAGAAATGACTGATCAAAAGAGATGGGCAGGAAAAAGTGTTAAGAAAGAGTGAGACAGATATCGCCAGCTCAAATAAATCAATTTGCACATGACCAGTTCTCAGATACTTTTTGGTAGCTATCTAAGAAATTCAAAGGTTGGCCTCTCCTGCTGCCTCACCTCCAGGTTCTAGTGAAAGCAACCAACACCAAATAGTGCCTTATCTAGCATTCCCCTAAAAAAACAACAACAAAAAAAAAAACAATAAATAAGTCCAAACTACTTCACACAATCTCCCCTGTAGGCTTGATGAAGTTCCAACTCCCTCTCCTCTAGGTGACAGGTTCATTTAATTGATAAAGGGCAATGTTTCAGAAATAGCATTCTGTTATCACCCTTGTTGCTGGCCTCAGGCTAGCAGAAATCCGCCAGACTGACACAGGGCCATTTATTGGAGATGAATCCTAGGAAACCATCCTTCCAGGCACCTGCTATCAGCCCGGTTGAATTCTTCAACCAGATCCAGGCACACTGGAGAGCTCTCTAGAATATTTCCATCAGCCTATACATTTGAATACCCCATTCATAATAACTAACATCTGATATTTGCTATGTTAATTAGCAAAGTATCTGGAATAACTGAGGTATCCTGACCTTTCCAACCCAGAGCTAGCTAATGACCCCTAGAGTACTAAGTCCTGATCAGAACACTAGCTACCCCTGGGTGTAATTTCAACTAACAAATATCACATTGTCTAAACTAAGTTTTTTTTTTTTGAGTTGGAGTCTCACTCTGTAACCTAGGCTGGAGTGTGATGGTACACTCACAACCCCAGCAGCCTTGACCTGCTGGGCTCAGGTGATCCTTCTGCCTCAGCCTTCCAGCCTATAGGCATGCACCACCATGTCCAGCTAATTTTTGATTTACTGTAGAGATGAGGTCTCGCCAAGTTGCTCAGGCTGGTCTCGAACCCACGGGCTCAGGCAGTCCTCTCACCTTGGCCTCCCAAAGTGCTGGGATTATAGCCGTGAGCAACAGTGCCTGGCCGCTAAGTATTTCTTTTTCTTTTTCTTTTAATTTTAAAGATGTGGAGTACAATTCAGGGTTAGGTACATAAATGGTCGTCGTACAGGTGAAGTTTGGGCCTCCCTTTGGTTCCCACTTGGCCTGGTTTGAGATCACGTATTCTTATTAGTGCTATATGCACCTCCCTCCCCTGGCAGTGTCCCGCTACTGTCAACCCCTTTCATGTCGTATTATGATAAATATTCAGGGTTCACTTATGAGTGAGAACATATGGGTACTCAGTTCTCTGTATCTGTGATAGATCACTGAGTATGATGGACTCTAAATTCATCTAAGTTGCTGTGAAGCCCATACTTTTGTCCTTCTTTATTAGGCTGAATATTTGAAAGTAAACTACAAACACAATGTCAGAGAAGGGGAGGAATAAGAAGAACTCCTCCTTGGCAATCCTTACCCACGTGTATACAAGTCTCGCCCATAAATGTGCCATCATTACCACTTGTATATATTTTTTGGATCCATCCATTCATTAACAATTATTTGCAGAGTGTTCACCTATGGCCCAGATACCCATTTGAAATATACTGTCTGTCTGATAGTTCCAAGGAGAATTTGATATACTAAAAGAATATTTAAAATTCACTAGCTGAAGCCATTGACAAGTTTTTGCCAAAATCAAACAGTCCCACCATGGTATGAGGGTGTTAAAGCACCCCCTCACCAAGTCTCCATTTCAGCCTCAAGAAGGAAAGAAGTAGGCCAGGCATAGGGGCTCATGCCTGTAATCCCAGCACTTTGGGAGGTCGCATCGAAAGTATTGTCTGAGCCTGAGAGTTAGAGACCAGCCTGGGCAGTATGACTAGACCTCGTGTCTACAATAAATACAGAAAAATTAGCCAGGCATTATAGCATGCACCTGTACTGCCTTGTACATGCACCTGTACATGCACCTGTACCAGCCTTGGAAGGCTGAGGCGGGAGGATCGCCTGAGTCCAGCAGGTCGAGGCTGTGGTAGCCATGAACGTGCCACTGCACTCCAACCTGGGCAATAGAATGAGCAGAGTGAGATTCCAACTCAAAAAAAAAAAAAAGGAAGGAAGCACTAGAAAAGTCTGTTGGTAAACTTTAAAATATCAATTGCCTTTTTTTTTCTTTCTAGGACAAAAACAAAAAGAAAATCCTTATTAAAGGTTATATAAACATTTTTACTATATTTTGTTTTCTTTAAGAACCAATGAAAGTTATATCATTAGGCTACAATTACCTTAATTGTGATTTAGTGCATCGTAAAAAAATTGTGGATAAGAATTCTTGGCGTTGCTTGTTGGTCCAGAGGTCAAACCAATGACTTATAAGAGCAATTCTTTCCTGAAAGAGCTATGAGGGGGTAAGAGGAGATGACATTTTGCAGTACAGTTTGATTTACTCTTAGCTGCTTAGCAATCTCTAGACAATCTACCAACAACTAATATTTGCACAGCACATTACATTTCACAAAACACTCTCCCATATATAGTAGGGGACTCTCCTTTCAGGTTAAACTGTTTTTACCCAGGGATACTGACAAGCCCAGACTTGTTGGGTGGGTTGGTGGGAAAGGCTAGTGAGGATATAATTACAGAGGGGCCTCAGGAAAACAAAGAGGTAATGATTCTTGGCTCATGTTTCCACCTGGGCTAATGCCGCCTATTGAAACAGAGTCCATATATTTCATCTTGAAAACACATACAGGCTATGCTAATTTAATTGCGAAAACAGGACCATTTGAAGGTCCATTACATTCTAGAGGGTTTTTCTTTAAAAATATGGCAACACAAGACCCAATATATCAAGTCCCTGGATCTTCATAGCACCCACCAAGCTTACAGTTAATAAGTTTTACTAAATAGCTGGTGTTAATTGTGTCTCCAGGGAAGACATATAGAACCAGAGTTCCCTAAACGTGGGTTTCAGTCCAGCTTTGCTCAGATAGACATAGAATACTCACTGTCTTATTATTAGAGGTCAGGCTTTAGCCCCAACCCTGTCTGGTCTCCTTCCCTAGTGAGTGAGACTGAACCCAGGAGGGCTCTGCGCACCAGGTTTGCCTTCTCCATCGTTAGAACTGTCCTAAGTCATTCAATGACAACTTCCTATATTATCTTAAAATAGGATTGGCACCCCCAGGCCACATGGAACCATCCAGTCAGCACAGGAGGGAAGAGAGGATTGTAGAAACACACAGGGAAACATGCATGGATACTCCCACATCACCAGCACTAAAAGCACCTTCCTCTCACCTCCCCCACCCCCCACCTCCCACCCTCATTACACTAACTTGTGTGTGTCCTGGCGGTCTCTACTTTGTCGGTGGAGGCACAGAGAAAAGCGGGAGGCAGATCTGGAACCTGCCTCAAGGTAGGAGTTGGGGACTGGAGTGCAAAGAGACTGTCACTTGGACAAAGTTAGGTCTGTTTTTCTTTAAACTGACTCAAAAATTAAATTCTAGAGGGTCTTTCTTTAAAAATATGACAGCATAGCCGGGCTCGGTGGCTCAGCCTGTAATCCCGCGCCTTTGGGAGGCTGAGGTGAGTGGATTGCCTGAGCCCACGGGTTCGAGACCCGCCTGGGCAGCGAGACCTCATCTCTGCAATAAATAAAAAAATCAGCCGGGCGTGGTAGCACGCGCCTGTAATTCCGGCTACTCAGAAGGCTGAGGCGGAAGGATCGCCGGAGCCCAGCAGGTCGAGGCTGCGGTGGCCGGGAGCGGCCTCTGCACTCCAGTCTGGGCGACAGAGTGAGACTCCGACTCAAAAAAAAGACAGCATAAGACCCAATATATCACAATAAAAGTAGCCTTACAAATTGAACTTGTTTTGCTCTAGAGTATTTAACTCACCTGTCTGTTTAATGACATGTTGCTAAAGGGTGTCCAGGCACTGAATCTTGTATGGTAGCTCTCTGTTTCCAGGGTTTTCCGAGAAGACTCCCCAGCTGACATCTCAGCAAATTATTTTCTTCCACTTTTGGAAATTACAGGTTTATTTCAATAGGAGTATAATTGAGATCACCTAGTAATATTCAACATATGAATTAACAGAATTACAATGATTGATATATATAATAAATGTATATAATTACAACAGTAATATATATCTGTGTGTATGTATACACATATAATATTATTCTCATAAGAATTATAGTAATTCATATATATAGCATACAAAGGGGGATCCAAAAAACCTGGAATTTATTAAAAATTACTACATATTTAAACTTGTCACCTTCAAAGCACTGTCCATTTGATGCAATATACCTACCAAGATGATTTTCCATGGCTCAAGATAGTTTTGAACTTGTCGATTTTGATGCCTATGAGTGCTTCTGCAAATTTTGTTTCACCTCTTCCACATCAGCAAAACATTTCCTTTTGAGAACTTTTTTCATCTGGGGAAACAAAAAAAGTCACACTGATATTGAGACCCTCTAATGTCTGTCTACATTGTCACAGCCCCTAGAGAAGGATGTGGCCAGGGATCAAGCGCTCCTGTACATTCCTGAACAATATTCCTGAGAACTAATAAAATATGCACTTCCCCTTATCTCCTGTGCACTCTCAGTGAGTAGCTTCGGGAATCGTTGATTTCCCTATAGTCTATGCTCCATCAACTGAGAGATACAAATCTTCTTTTACTCTCTTTTGCTGAGTGGTTTTAAGTTTGAATAATAGTATCAATGTTATTGTAAGCCTTGTGAATTATATAATTTTTGAATCAATGTAATTGTAAGCTTTGTGATTTGTATAACTTTTGCATAATACATGATGTCTTAGGCCCTTTACTCTACAGCAAGCTTGATTGACACTTCTGCCGTACTAATAAAAGCTATGAGGTACCTCTGATACCTGGCACCAGGAAGTCTGGACAGAGAATGTCACTATCAATAAATGTGGCTGAAACTCAAGTTCTATACAATGCTCTGCTGATCACATGGCTAATGTATAAGTACTGACAACTCTGGACTACAAAAGTGAACTGTAAAAACCTAGAGAGTGGGCAGAACCATTTTGAAAGACCTTGAGTCTGGCTCTGCTCCCTGGATTCGACCCCAGAAATAAACTTCTTTCTACCAGTTCCCTGTCCCTTTGATTGACTGGTATCAAGGGGAGCAACTGAGCATTACTCGGACCATAACAATTCAGGCCAAGATCGGGTGAAAAGGGAGGATGAGCATGGGGGTTTTCCACTTTGGGTCAAAAACTGCTGGCCGGGTGTGGTGGCTTAAGCCTGTAATCCCAGCAGCCAAGGTGAGAGGATTGCCTGAGTCCACGGATTCGAGACCAGCCTGAGCAAATTAGTGTGACCTCATCTCTACAATAAATCCCAAAATTAGCCGGACATGGTGGTGCATGCCTTAATTCCAGCTACTTGGTAGGCTGAGGTGGGAGGATCGCCGGAGCCCAGCAGGTCAAGGCTACAGTGACCCGGGACATGCCCCCGCACTCAAGCCTGGGTGACAGAGTGAGACTCCAACTCAAAACAAACAAACAAGCAAAAAACTGCTGAACACTCAGTGCAGTGTGGGCAGGTGGGCTCATAAATCTCCCATCATGAAATGGGCAAACATGCTAAAAGAATCTCTCCCGCAAAAAAATTCACTGAAGCTGAACACAGTCTCTCACAACAATGCTAGCTGATAAACTGATGCCAATGGGTTCCTAGACCACCTCCTAGCAGGGAAGCCTGTACTACAAGGGACCCACCCTCTGAAAAATAGTTCCTGGTTTTTGGGGTCCCCCTTCGTGTGTGTGTGTGTGTGTGTGTGTGTGTGTGTGTATGTATATGTAAGCCATACCAGTACACACAAGGAACCCATGAACTCCATATCATTGCAGTTATTTTGTCTTTATCTATCTGTATCCAAATCTGAATCTAAACAAAACTTGTCTTTTATTTTGCCAAGAAAATAGGAGGTAAACAAAAATGTTTTAGGAAATACTATTAATAACTCAGAAACGGGCATGATTCATCAGCCAGAAAGGTTGACTTTTTCTGTCCTTGGCAAGAATTTGAAGCACTTTAAAAGGACACTCCCCCTGCTCATCTTTTGAGGACAATTTAGAAAAAAAAGGGCAAATGTATGACTACTGAAATGAGTGACTGAGGCTTAGGTTTCAATCATCAAGGTTTATTAAGTCAGCTGTAGGGCGTGTCCAGGAAAAACGTGAGCCACAGACACATCCATGGCTGTTTATCAGAAGAGATTTTCAGGAGGTTTGGTGGTAATACATTTCTTTATTGAGGGGTATGTAGGAAGAGAGGAAGGTGGGCAGTGAGGTGAACCATTACATTCCCGGGAGACTTTAGTTAGTCTCCAGTACATCTACATTTTACATAAGGTGAATGACTGAAGAGATAAAGGAAATGAAGGAAGGATGATCAATTATGCTCACATCTCTGAGTAGGTGGAGGAGGGAGTCTTGGCTTTGTCCTGCATCTGGGAAGATAATCTTGTAATGACATTATCAGGGTGGAATCAAACAGACGTTAGCTTTAGGAGTTAGACTTAGATTGCAGACCTAAAGTTGGTAGGTCTTTGTTTATGGAGGCCAGCCAAGAATTTACTCCTGAATGATCTGTGGAGGCAGTTCTTTGCATATGCCTGAGACCATTTGCCTTTCCATGGGGATCTGGCTGATGTGTAATGTTCGTAACAGCTACTCATTTGGAAGAGAATGCTGCAGTGACCTTCCCTTTTGCACACGAAGCTTGGAGGGGGTCCTCAGATTTTGAAATTTTCCTTTACATATATTAGTTATCTATTGCTGTGTAACAAATTACCCCCCAAATTTAACAGCTCAAAACAATAAACACTTATTACCTCAAAATTTCTGTGGGTCAGGAATCCAGGCACAGCTTAGTAGGGTACTGTATTAGTCTACTAGGGTTGCCATAACAAATTACCTCAGACTGGGTGGCTTGAACAACAGAAATGTGTTTTCCTCACTGTTCTGGAAGCTGGAAGTTCAAGATTCAGGTGTCATCCATGTTGGTTCTGGTGAGGCCTCCCTTCCTGGCTTGCAGACAGCTGCCTTCTAGCTATGTCCTCGCCTGGACTTTCTTCTGAGTGCATGCAGACAGAAATCGCTTGTGTCTCCTCCCCCTCCTCCTTCTCCTCTTCCTCCTCTTCCTCCTCCTCCTCCTCTTCTTCTTCTTCTTCTTCTTCTTCTTCTTCTTCTTCTTCTTCTTCTTCTTCTTCTTCTTCTTCTTCTTCTTCTTCTTCTTCTTCTTCTTCTTCTTCTTCCTCGGACACCACCTTATAACCTCATTTAACTTTTATTACCTCCTTATAAGCCCTATATGCAAATATAGTTGCATTGGGGGTTAGGGATTCTACATGTGAATTTGGTTGAGGGGAGGGGGAAAATACATTTCAGTCCATAACCAGTACCTCTGTGTCAAGATCTCGTCTCAGGCTATAGTCCAGGTGTTGCCCATGACTGCAGACTCACTGAAGGCTCTGAAACTCATTCATGTTGTTAGTGGGATCCAGTTCCTCACAAGCGGTTGCACTGAAGCCTGCAGTTCTCAGTCTGTCCGCTGGAGGTCTCCCTTGCCTCCCTTGCCCCACGGCCCTCTCCACAGGGTAGCTCACATGGCAGCTGGCTTCCATCACACTGAGCAAATTAAAAAGCAAGAGAGGGCACACAGAGGAAAGCCACAGTCTCTTTGTAACCTAACCTCAGGAGTGACATCCATCAAGTCACTAGGTGTAGCCTACACGTACGGGGAGAGGGTTATTCGAATGCATGGGCAGTAATATAGTTTATCACAGCTCATTCTACCGGTCAGTTCCCTTCCTTTTCTGCATGCAAAACACCACTTATTAAGGGAGGGATCCCTACAGTTCCATCACATTAATATTTTTAGCTCAGAGCCCAGAGAATAAAATGACTCACAACAGACTCTACAAATGCAGATAGAGCTTCTTTTGAGCCAAGGATCTTTGAACTAAAAAGATAAGTTGTCTGGCCCTTGCCCCTGCATACAATATATGTAATGGTAAAACAAGGAAAGCATAACTGCAATAGACATTCCCGCTGTTAAAGGAGAAGGACAATATAGTCAAGGGTCCATAGCAGCTCCGAAATCCTGCTGTTCAAGGCTGGGGCCATGGTCATTTTCAGCCTCAAACAACCACATTCTCCTTCAGACAATGCTAGTGATTCTCTTGACCATGCCAATTTCTCATAACGCACCGCAAATTATCTTCTTGATTCTAAACAGTGCTATGCACCACAATTGTTTAGAGACATTTCTATTTTCTCATTAAAGTTAATTGCACGTATTTTGAGGCAATCAGTCTTCCTTAGAGAGAGCCAAACACAGGCAGGGTACAGTGGCTCACGCCTGTAATCCCAACACTTTGGGAGATCATGGCGAAGGATCACTTGAGGCCAGGAGTTTGGGGCCACTCTGGACAACATAGCACAACTCCATTTCTGCAAAAAATTTTTTAAAAAAATTAGCCCAGCATAGTGATGTACGCCTGTAGTACTAGCTACTCAGAAGTATGAGTGAGACAGGAGGATCGTTTGAGCCCAGGAGGTTATAGTGAGCTGTGATCATGCCATTACGCTCCAGCCTGGGCCTCAGAACAAGACCCTGTCTGTCTAACAACAACCAAAAGAGCCAAACTCTAAGTGTTCCTTCTCGGAGATTTTTTTTCCCAACTGAAAAGTATTTGCTTACTGACACTTTGCCCTATTCAGATCCTGGTGTGATAACTATACTTTTGACATGGTCCTTGCTATTAGGCGGAGTTTTTTTGTTTTTGTTTTTGTTTTAAGTTGGACTCTCACTCTGTCGCCCAGACTGGAGTGCAGTGGCCGCTCCTGGCCACCGCAGCCTCGACCTGCTGGGCTCCGGCGATTCTTCCGCCTCTGCCTTCCAAGTAGCTGGAACTACAGATGCGCGCTACCACACCCGGCTAATTTTTTGTTTTATTGTAGAGATGAGGTCTTGCCAAGTTGCCCAGGTGGGTCTCGAACCCGCGGGCTCAGGCAATCCAT